GGGTGGGTGGTCATCAAATCTCTATAGTTGTCACCCTGTAGAACTGGGGTCCTCCCACGGAATCATGAAGTCGTGGAAGCAACATCTGTGAAGGGCTAGGATGTTTCAACGAAGGAGGAGTCCCTCAGGTCTACTAGATTATGGATTTTATAAATGATCATCTCAAGTGTTTAGAATGACCTATCAAAAGCATGTGATGCCATACCTAGGATGTCATTAGCTGGCAAAGACAGCTCTGTCTTAAGCCCCTGAGTCAGGCCTACCTCTACCTCTAGAGGGGAAGGAATTTTCAGATCTTGACATTTTGCCAATTTAAGACTTTAGGTCAGATTTAGACCAAAGTCAGACTCTGTCGTCATCCAGTGACATGGGTTTATAAGGACTGGCCCGTTTCCTAGTCTTTCTGACAAGAGAGGGCAGGAATAAGGGAAATTTCAGGAGAGCTACAGGCCCTAGGGTAGGAATCGAACAATGGGAGTGCGAAAAAGCGGGAACTCTCTGGCTGCATCTTGTACAATGTGGGGCTCTCTGCAGCAGGGATTATGACACAGAGAGGATGTGGACCCAAGACGGGGTGGCCATGAACGTCTCCTCCTTTGTCTTTCTTCGGTGTGTGTAGTCACAGCAGGAAGCACCTTCCTTACCTCTGAAACCAGGTGAATGGTCTCTGGCCCGAGCCAGGCCTCCAGCGTTCCCCGCACAGATCGACCTATCTGGCTCAAGAGGTCAACCGGGGCCTCCCTCTTCTGCTGGCCTGGTGGCACGAAGTCTGCGTGGGACTGGGATGATGCCGAGTGGAGGAGGATGAGGGCCACCAGGACCGTCAGGATGACTTTGAACACATGCTTGCCCCGCGGTGGGCCTGCCATGGCTGGGTCTGTTGGGAGAGCAGCACAGGGTGAGCGGAGCGCCAGAACGGGCACGGACACCCCCCGAATGCCCTCCTGTACCCCCACCCTGTTAGCCGAGAAAGGCAGAAGTGGGCCTTTTAACCTCAGCTGAGCACGACCTTTTGATTCACCGGTTCCTCTTTCACATTCTTTACCACTTGCACGTTCGTTCGTTAACCGGCAAGTATTCTCCAACGCCTCAGGGGAGACTAGATCTAGGATTGTTCCAGTTCTAAAAATCTGAAGGCCCGTCTCTAGGTCTTAGGTGTTACGGGCATAAAACAAATATAAGGCTTTGTCCCCAGGGAGGTTATCATCTACTTAAGATCAAGCAGACATAAAAAACAACCTAGGAAATAGCACATAAATAAGATTCCTGCCGTGTAAAGATGTAAAGAGAAGTGCTCAGGTATGTGCTCAAGCAAGAGAAAACTGCATATATGCCTCCTGCCCTGCAGGACCATCACAGGAGGTGGTATTAACCTCCTACTGGTAACAGATGAGAAGAAACAGACTCAGGGGTTAGGCACTGCCCCAGGTCACTGGGCTAAGTAGAAAGGTCAGGGTTTGAAGCCAGGCTTCTGCTTCCAAATCGCACACTTATTTGGGAGAGAAGTGGATCTCAACTGTGGCTGCTCTTTGGAGCCACCGGGGAGCTTCACAAACTATTGATGCCTCTGTCCCAAGTTCAGACTTTCTGGTGTCACTGTCTGGGAGTGGTTTAGGCTTGAACCTGCAAAAGCTCCCCGGGTAATTTCGCTGTGCCGAGCTGAGACCCACTGACACAGAATGACCTCAATCAACTCCCCAGCCCCCAATGTAGGCAAAGGGTTAGAGCACAGCCTTTAGGGAAAGATATTATTAATAAAAAGCTAACCATGTGCCCCCTATCTCATACAATCGCCACCATCAGGTAGGCATTGTTACTGTTCTCCATTTTACTGAAGAGGAAACTGAGGTAGGATAAGCAATAAGGGGGGGGGAGCCAGGATTTGAACCCAGGTGCGTCCGATATCAGACCCCTCACACATACTGCCCTGCCGTATCATCTCTGAAGTCAGTTTCAAAAGTGATTTGGGGGCGCCTGGATGGCTCAGTCAGTTAAGCGTCTCTTGATTTCGGCTCAGGTCATGATCTCACAGTCGTGAGATAGATCCCGAGTTGGGCTCCGTGCTGGGCATGGAGCCTGCTTAAGATTCTCTCTCTCCCTCTCCCTCTGCCTCTCCCCTGCTCACTCAAGAGTACTCGCTCGCTCACTCAAAAAAAAAAAAGGGATTTGGAGAGTCACACAATAGATTATTCACGGGCTAAAATAAACTTGGCATCTAGCAATCATCTCCGTGAATGACTCCTGGTGACAATTCACTTACCCACTTTGTGTTTTGTACTCTGAGCTCATCTGTAATACGATGCCACAGGCAAGTTAAGACCCAACAAGCACAGATTCATTGAAGCAGGTGTGGACCAGCCAAAAAAATGTTTGCAAGTTTGCTATTTACCACTGTGCTTGAGAAATGTCAAACAGCACCAGCAAATCCCCTGTTCTCTCCCAGGGTCAGAAATGAACCTGTAGCTCCAGGGAGTTTCCGTGATTCAGACCCAATGATCAGAGGCTAAGCCATGCCCCTGATGTAGGAGCAGCCAGGCGTTTGAAGTTTTTGCAGGTTACCAGATCACTCTGGGAGTTACCCAGAAATCAGAGCCATCAGGGTGGAGAGGGATTCTTACTTTGTAGAAAGGAGAAGAGTCCAAGAAAGAGTTATAAAAATATCCTATCCGGGGCACTTTCTGGCCCAGAAACACCTGCCCTGAGTTCCTCTTGAGGTCTGTGGAATCAAGCAGGGCTGCAAAAACATGCATTCATGTGGAGCGGCCTCAGGCTGGGAAGGCTTTTACTCTTCTCCCCTCTTTGGCAGAAATCAAGAACCAGATGGTTCCTGCCTGCCAGTGGTCAGACAGGAGGGAAGCACAGGTCAGTTCCTAAGCTATCTGGGTCATAACCACACTGGGGACTTAAAGAGCAGGGTTGCTATCTTAGGTTGGATCCTATATCCAAGGACCTCCACCAGGAGGGATCAGATATCGTCTCCTCGGTTCTAGAAGGTCAGGGTGATGTGAGCTGCTCCCCCCATGGCGGCCTCCTGCATTCTGTGCCAGCCTCGACTTTCAAGCAGACATCTGCCTCAGTCAACAGGAGCTGGGGGACCTTGGAATAAACCCTCCACAGTGAGGCCATCACTGGCTCCCCAGCTGACCTTCTAAAGTGCACCAGAAACCAAATCTAACAGGATTCTAGAGGGTGCCCTTTGCAGATGAGACTGAAGATCATTGGCTGGTCCGTTTCTTCAAATTGTTTTATTTAACAGGATCCCTTCTCATTTCTTCCAGGTTCTTTCTGCGCAGCAAGAACCAGACTCACTGTCATCACACCTCCTCACTGCAGCCCAACCAAATACTTTTCATAAAGAGAAACCATGGCAGTCAAGAGCCGGAGCAGCCTTGAGCTCTGAGAGGAAGTAGGTCTTAAACATATTCACCTCCTGCAGTGTCTGGCCTCAAATGGTGGCACTCAACAAATTGTGTGTGTGTGTGTGTGTGTGTGTGTGTGTGTGTGTGTGTGTGTGTGTTCATATTCACACATACAAGCAGCCATCTGCCCCAGTTCAGTGTGTATGTGAATGATGTTAAGCATAGACGTTTATTTCTTGCACGTGTGTGGTGCTTTATAATTTACAAAATGCCTGTTACTTCGCTATCTCACTGAACTCTTCCAACAATCTTACAAGGTACTGCTATTCTACATTTTACTCAGAAAACTATGGCTTAGAGTTGTTCAAGCTCGCACGGCTGAGACTTGCCTCCGGAACCCAGGATCTAAATCTCGCCCTTCTGCTTGTTCCAACCCCTGTGCTGCCTCAGAAACACAGGGCCCTCAAGGCACTTAAGAGTTCCACCAAGTATGAATGAGCTCAAAGTGAGAGGATATGCAGAGTCCCGCCAGGAGCTGACCCACCTGCGGCACATGGTTTTGTACCAAGAGGTATGAGGACAGCAAAAGATTGGGGCCAGCCCTGCCACTTCTGTCCAGGTACCTGGAAGATGGCTCGGGCAGGGCCAAGAGAACCCGGCTCAGCTGGGGAAACTGCTCCACTTAACTATGGTAGTGAGAAGGCACTATATGTTTAGCTGTGGTTTGCCAAGAGGGCAGGGTGGGGCAGTCCATACACCCCCTGCCAAGGCTCCTTCCTCGGGATAGCTTCCTTTCCCACCATGAATCACTACGTGGCAGGAGGGGCAGCTGACTTAGTGCCCTCTGCTGGCCCTGATTTCCCCCATCATTGCTCAGAGCTGCCCCAGTGGAGCAGTGGTTCTCGGCTCTGGTTGCCCAGCAGAAAAGTCTGTGGAGCCTGTTCAAGCAAGGATGTCTGTCCCAATCGGGGCCATCTTAGACGCTCCCAAATAGGGGCTCAGGATTTTGTTTGTAGAGCCCCTTGAGGATTTCTGATGCATAACCAGACAGCTGCCAGAAATGATCAGCAGCAAAGGAAAAAGTCTATTCTAGGCAAAGTCTCTAAAGTGTGGCAGTGCGCGTAGGAACCTAGACTTCTCTCCCAGGCTCCATTCTGCCACAAACTAGAAGCCACCGCCTTATGCCTATGACTTAACCTGAGTTTCAGTCTCCTCAGTGTCAAATGGGGTTAAGCAGGCTTAAGAATTATTACGTGTTTCTGCAAGAACTTTCTAAACCTTAAGCATCAGTAGGAATGTTGCCGTTCACAAACTGCCAATAACACCGCTCATTACATTGTAGCATAATTCAGCAGGTTTACATGCCGGCCTCCCCCATTAGACTTCCCGCGCCTCCGGTTGAACTTCACTTTTTTTGGAATCCCCAGTGCCTAGCGCAGAACGATGACTAATGGATGCTTGTTAAATGAATATTAGAAACTCGCCAAGGTAGCAAGGGAGAAGCGGAGAGAAGAGGCTTATTTTAAAGTTGATCCAAATACGCAGCGGCCGCCGGAGCAGCACAGCTGCGTCGAAAGGAAGCTCCTTGACGGGGCGAAGCTGCCACTGAGGAAAATGAAGTCAGCGTCCCGGCAGGTGGGGGCAGCCCCCGCTAAACCCCTGGCAGCTGCTGCCCAGCAACTGTTTGGGGGCAGGGCGACGGGCAAAGGGGCAGCTTCCTCCCCAGGGCCCAGCCTCCCCCCAGACAGGGTGTCAGTCGCATGTGCTATTTCGAACAGCAAGTCCCCTGCCAAGCCCTGCTGGGTGGCGTCGCTGGCAAGGGACGCGGCGCGGCCCAGGGGTTCGAGGTACCCCAAGGGACTCGGGATACCCCAAGGGGCTCAAAGCGAGGCCGCGGGAAGCTGGGTCGTGGGGCGGGGGCGACCGGCTCAGCGCTAGCCTCCTACCCCAGCCTGACAGCCGCCCCGCCCCTGCCGGACCTCTGAGCAGCGCTCCGAACCCTCTTCACCCCGGAAACGCGTGCCTCCCCTGTTACCTAGTAACGACGCCCCCTGTTGCATAGCAACGAGGATTCGGATCCCCCGTTTGTTTCCCCCGCTGGGGGCCGTCGGACCCCTCCCCACCCGTGTCCGCCAGGCCTCGCGACTCCGCCCTGCTCCCACCTGCAGCGGCTGCCGCCTCCCCGTCCCGCGTTCTGTCCCCGAGCCCCGGTCTCGACTGGCACTCACCGGGCTCCGGCCACTACTGCCCTTCACGTGCGACTTCGCTAAAACGCGCCACCAAACCCGCGCCTCAACTCCGGGGCGTTGGTTTATCGTCTGCGCACGCGCAAGGCGGGAGGAGCCCGGGGACCTGCCGGTCCCCCTCCCCGCCCAAACACCGTGCCGTGGGCGCATGCGCCCTACCCTCTTGATCACGTTTCTCCCCCCACTGTCCACCCCCACCGAGCATTCCCACCAAAAAAGAGTGGGATCAGAAGTTCGAGCTGGGAACGGAAGTTTCTGGCAGGAAAGGGGGAAGAAGCGGCTATATCTGAGCTGTGCAGTAAGTAAACTGAATCTTTGAAATTCGGAGTCGAAGCCGGGCCGTCTCTTCAAGCCCTCAGCATTTCGGTCCACGTAGTTTCAAGCTACCCAGTACCTCCCGGGCATTGTGGGAAATGTAGTTCTAACCAAGAGGCACCTGGTCTTTTTGAGGAACTTTCGCGCTAAAAAGGCACAAAGGAAAAAGGTATTAGGGGAGCAGTAAGAGGTACCAGCTCTGGAAAGATGCGTCCGCCCCCTCTGAGAGCGATTATGCACCCGAACCCTGCTGATGGCTCTCGAATGTTCATTCAGTTATAGAGAAGGAAAGGAGCCAACTTCCAGACCCCATTTCCACACACACAAAAGCAAGATTTGGCTGGTTTGTGATTCTAGGCACTTTTTTCTTCATCCGTCTTGACCTCAGCTGTTTCAACTTTACTATCCAGTCCTAGAAGTTCTTCACTTCACGGTGGGGTGTGCAGCCATCTTCCTCTGGACCCTCATTACTCCCTGCATCAGCTAAGGGTCTCTTCCAGAACAGACTCTAGCAGCACCCTGGGCCTCACCTTGTAGCTTTTCTAACAGTCGCAATTTTACATTTGCTTGTGAGATGTTTCTGATCTGTAAGGACTGCCAATCTCCCAGATTCCTGTTCAAGAAATGTAACATTTTGGGGCACCTGGGTGGCTCAGTTGGTTAAGTGTCCAACTTCGGCTCAGGTCACGATCTTGCAGTTCAGGGGTTTGAGCCCCATGTCAGCTCTGTGCTGACACCTCAGAGCGTGGAACCTGCTTTAGATTCTCTCCCTCTCTCTCTGCTCCTACCCGGCGCTCTCTCTCTCTCTCTCTCTCTCAAAAATAAACATTTAAAAAATGTAACTTTCCCCCCCGCCCCCTATGACAAGTCACTTTCTTTTCAAACCTTTTCTATCTGAGCAATAGAAATAATCTCAGACAGGTGCCTGGGTGGCTCAGTCAGTTAAGCGTCCTACTTCAGGTTGGTGAGTTCGAGCCCCGCATTGGGCTCTGTGCTGACAGCTCAGAGCCTGGAGCCTGCTTTGGGTTCGGGGTCTCTTTGTGTCTGTGTTCCTCCCCAACACGCACTCTGTCTCCCTCTCTCTCTCAAAAATAATAAACATAAAAAAAGAAGAAGAAATAATCTCAGTTCTTCCCACCCTTAGTCTTCAGAGTGTACACGCTGGAAAATTCACATGGGGCCAAAGTGTGGGGGCGGAGGGTAGGGGCAGTCATCTAATCCTCACTGTCAGTTAACTGCATTGTCTTACCTGCTCTTCTGTTACTTTTCCACACAGGCTGCCACTACATCTACCTGGGAAATGGAGCTTTTCTGGGTTGTTGGCCGATAGCTCTGCCTCTGCTCACAGTGGTATCTCTAAGACCTAGTAGTGTGCCTTCCTGGCACACGGTAGGCACTCAGTAAGGATCGTTACTGGCTCTCTCTTTCTCCAGTCTGTCCTCCTCCAACCCGTCCAGTAAGTGTCTTCCAGAGGAATCTTTTGGAAGTGTAGTTATCACTCTGCAGCTCAGCTGCTGGTCAGCTGCCAGCCCCAAGTCTAACTGCCTCTGGTTCAAGGCCCTGCCTGAAAGGATCCATTTTATTTCCTACCACATCCAAAGATGTAGGATGCTTGGCTTGACGGGCAGCCTGTCATTCAACCAAGGACAGTTATGAAGTCCCTGCTGTGTGTCAGGGGCTGTGTTAGACTCTGAGGAACAACGGTGACCAGAACAATGACGGTTCCTGATATCACAGCATTTGCCGTCTAGTGGAGAACACAGATATCAAACAGATACTTGTAAACAATGATATAAGTAAGTGATTATAGCTACCAGAATAGCTTGGAGAATTACAGGGTACTGTGGGGGACTGAACTTGAGTCAAGGGTCAAGAAAAAGGCTCCAGAGGAAGTGCCATTTAAAATGAGATTGAAGTTTCCTTTGGAGGCAATAGGAGGGGAGGAGAGAGGAGGGAGGTGTGCCAGGCACAAGTAGTGAAACCAGCCAGAGGGAGTAAGTTTGAGGACTTGAAAGGGAAGCTGGAGAGAAGATCAGGTGGTGGAGGTCAGTAGGGGCTAGATGGTACAGGACTTGGGGGCCAGTTTTCTCTGCATTCAGGTCTCAGCAAAAATGTCACCTCCTCAGACATGCCCTCCCTGAATACCCCTCGTAATGCAGCCCATCTCTCCCATCCACACCACTTCCCATCCGTCTTTCTCTGATTTGTGTTATTCTTGGCCCTTACCAGTCTCTGGAATTTTCTTCTTAGAGTTGATTGTCTATGCCACCCCCCTCCCCCAAAGAACGTAAGCTCCAAGACAGCAGAAACCTTGTTTGCCATCACCATTTGTATCTCCAGTTACCAGAGCAGAGTCTGGCACGGAGGCACCCAATCAATATTTGTTGAATGAATGAAAAGCCTGAGGAATAGCAGAAATAGATTTTTCATGGAAAGGGGATCACTGGCTGTTCTATAAAAAGTGGATTAGAAGGAGGCTAGGCTGGAAACAAGACCAATTAGGATGCTATTTTACTGCTGCAAGGGAGATAATAGTGGTTTGGACAATCTTGCTTGGCTTCAGGGATAATGATAACAAACACGAACGCGTGTATCATACTTATTATGTGTCAAAGTACAAAGCACTTTTTAATATTAACTCCTCACAACAACCCTGTGAGTTAGTTCAACCTTTGTTATTTTACAGATGAGGAAATTAAGGAGAGAATGTCATACAGTTTGCTAGCTGGGTGAGCTGGGATTAGAGCACCCACAGGCTGGCTTCAGAGTCCATGCTCTTGACCACTATGCCTTACTGCCCTATATACCTGCAGCCATGCTTCTCTCCAAGCCTATGTGCATGCTCTTCCTCCTCTTGGGATGTCCTCTGCTCTCTTCTATTTGAATATTGCCCACCTGTCAAAATCCAGCTCATTCACACCTCTTCAGCCAAGAAGACTTCACTGATCACACCCGTCTGTCCTGCTTTGTCTGGATCCCTTATAGTCCACACCACGTGTTCTGTACATGATTCCTTAATCTTATCTTACAGGTATCCACTTAGAACCGACAGATCTGAGCTCTTCCAGCCTAGCTAAGTCGTGCAGGAAAGGGGAAGAAAAGGTAATGACTTGCCCAAGATCACAGCGCGAATTGGTAGTAGGGGCAGGACCAGAACCATTTCTTAGCCAGTGCTAGTTTCTCTATCCCTCTGTATCCGCGCTTTCTTCCCCGGTCACCTAGCAGTGACTTTCAAAGGGCAGTCCTAGATACACCTGCCTCAGAATCACGTGGAGTACGCCCTGAAAATACATACTGTCTAAGGCAGACCCCGGGAATATGCATTTTAACAAGTTCGTCAGGAAATTCTCATACGCTAAGAAATTTGCAAGACGACGGTCCCACGGACCAGCGCAGCGCCGGTCTCGACAAAACCTCGTTCCTCGCATTGGCTTTAAATTCCCACTGCATTGTGGGAAATGTAGTTCTGACTTCGTGTCCGTCCCCGGGAGCGCTTTACGGAAGGAGCCGAGCCTGTCCGGAAATGGCCGAGTATTCCCTGGCGGGCCCTTTCCTGCCCGGGTGCATTGTGGGAAAGGGCAGTTTCCGTTAGGTGCTGGAGGCTGAGGCGCGCGACCGGCCGCAGCCCCACGTGAAGCTCTACGCGAGCATCGCTCGGCGGGGCCGCTCCCCGCCAGCCGCGGAGCGTCCCGGAAACAGCGGGGGACCGGAAGCGGCCCGCGGCGGCGCAGAAGCGAATCCCGGAGCCCGGTGCCAGGCGCCTCGGAGCGCAGCGACGGCGCCATGTCCCTGATCTGCTCGAGTGAGTGTCGGCTGCGGCCGATCGCGGGTCGCAGGGGGCCGGAGCGCGGAGCGGGAGGAGCTGCGGGCCGCTGCGGTGCCGGGGTCGGGGCGGAGGCGACAGCAGGGCTCCCGGGGGGCAGGGCGGCGGCTTGTCAGCGCCGGGGTCCTCCTCCTCCTCAGCGTGGGGTGCATTTGCGCAGCGCTTCACAGTTTACATAACGCCTCAAGTTTATTGTCGCAGACGTCACTGAGGCCAGCCACCTCGTTTACGCAGTGAACTGAGGCCTGGATGGAGGGAGCTTGGTGCAGGGAGACAGCTGTGGTGTAGGAATCGGGCTTGTGCAGGACCTCCCTTCCCGATTGGCTTTGTGATCTGGCGCAGGCTCTGGGCCTCAGTTTCCTCATCTGTAGAAAGAGGGCATTCATTTGCACGGGCTGACGCCGGAGGTCCTGCGCGGGTAGTCAGAGATTCTGCAGTTTGCGAAGGTCACACAGTGAGTTGGAGGCAGTGACAGGGCTGGAATCCAGGCCCCTGGCTCCCAGCCTCAGGCTGCACGGCCACCAAACACAGCGCACATTTATAAAGCCTTTTGGTCTACGCCCCGCTTCCAAGTCTGTGATCTCATTTTATTCTCACAAGAATTCTCCAGAACAGATGTGACGATCCGGGTTTTACAGATGAGGATGCAAGGCTCAAGGAGAGTGTCGCATGGGCGGTGGGGCTAGTTTCTCTGCCCCCTGAATCCATGCCTTTTTCATGCCTTGCGCAGCCTTTGCTTTTGGTATTTTAATGCGGCGCGCATCCGTTTTGCATTCTCATTGTTCCGTCAGGTTACGAGATCATCCCTTTCTCTGTTTGCTTCCAGCTCTCCAGCCGCCCCCCCCTCCTCCCCGCCCTGCTCTTCTCGGAACCCCTCCATTAATCCAAAAACAGGGAGGAAGGGAAATGAGGGCTAGAAAAAGGAATCTTTCATATTGAAGACATTGCAGCTTGCAGAGTGTTTTCTCGTTGGTTGTCCCCTCTCTGTCTCGCGGAAGGTTCCCCCCCACCCCCCACCCCCATTCCCAGCACCATCCTTCCTTTAGATGTTTACACGAGATGTTTACTGGGTGCCTGCTGGGCATCTGCATTGTACTGGAAGTCAGAGACCAGCCATAATCCCTATCCTCAAGGGGTGCATCGTCTACTGGGGCCGGCATGTAAATGATACCTCTGTTGGGGGTTGTGAGGATGAGTTAATCAATGGAAAGTGTTTACAGTCATGCGTGGCACCTGATAAACACCACGTAAATGTTTCTTCTTGTTATAACGCTTGTCACGTTGCTGTGTGATTTCTTTGTCTATTAATCCACCGAGGCTCTAGGTAGAGATTTGAGTGGCCGTCTGTATCTGTGTCATAGAGCATAATGGGTGCCAAAGCATCTTTGTTCCAAACGGAGATGGGTGGGGATTATCGACTGCTCTGTAGGTGCGTGACACATCGTAGTCGCGCAGAATCATTTGTTGACTGCCTGTCAGGAGAGCGATGGAGAAGCTAGTCGTGTAGCCGTACAGATACGGGGGCGCTACAAAACTGGTTGTCACGTCCTGCTTTCTGTTGAGTGTGGGGACATGTTTTGTTGGGGCCAGTGGCCTGTGAGGCATCCCCTTGTCCCAAGGTCCCTTTCACCACCCCAAGCTCACTGCCTGCCTTTTCTCCACAGTCTCCAATGAAGTGCCCGAGCACCCATGCGTGTCCCCTGTCTCTAATCATGTTTATGAGCGGCGGCTCATTGAGAAGTATATTGCGGAGAATGGCACAGACCCCATCAACAACCAGCCCCTGTCCGAGGAGCAGCTCATCGACATCAAAGGTGCCCGGCGGCTGGCCTCCGTCCGGGGCTGTTGTAACTCCAAGCTTGACAGGGTGGGAGGTGGCGCCGGCCCCCAGAGAGGGAGATAGTGCT